CTGAACCGGGTGTTATTACAGTCATAAAGAAACCTTTTTAGTACAGCTTTTTAGTCAATGTACTAAAAAGGTATACACCATAAAATACCTGTTAAGGATCTATCACTGTGTCACTTAATCAAAATTTGTGACAACTGATGCAGCGTCAAGAAACACTGTGGCAGTTGGATCTTCCAAATATGTATTTTCATAAACAGAGACATTAAAATGAGTGTTTTATCATTTACCAGGTATTGGACGGAATCAAAATCCTCCTTAATGGTTTTGTTCCCCTCTGGGCCAGACTCCATGTAGACCTCCAAGCTGTGGGTCAGGTCCTTCTCAAAGTATGTGTCGATCTGTTCAAGACAAAGGCCGACATGGCAGTCAGGACAACTTGCTGCACGTAGGAAAGGTGAGGAGAGCCACTTGTGAATGTGGTCACAGTGATGGACAAACATTTTTTTTGGAAATGTGCATGCAGTGGTGGTTTTGATATGGGCGAAATATGGGCAGTTGCCCAGGGCACCATCTGAAAGGGTTGAGGCACAAAGTCACAATTTTTTGAGTGATTTCCAAAAATTTCTGCAATAATAAACAAAATGTGTCTCAAGTTCCCATCACTTTCCTTAGCAACTAAATTCAATGTATGCAAAAAGACTAGCCAGGTGTTACTAGTGCTGACCCTTGTTTTTGTAGCCTGTAACTCTGACCGGTTTTGGTCTCTAGTCTTTGAAGAATTATTATATTTCATCTGCACTGGAGGGTTTTCCAGCTTCAACAGCCTTTTTTTAAGATCATGTCACTGCATTTAAATAGTATTCAGGTCAGGACTTTGACTATAAGCCACTTCAACGTCTTCATCTTGTTTTTCTTCAGGTGCACTTGCTACTGTGTTTTGGATCATGGTCCTGCTAAAGAACCCAAGTTGGTTTCAGCTTCTGGTCAGGCCTCAGAATTCCTCACCTTGGTTTCCTGCACATTTTGATGTTTTTTTTTTTGTTTTTTTTTTATTAAACAATGATTCTGAACCATTCTGGGCTTCCAGTTCAGCAGCAGCTTTCATTGCTGCTGTTCTCCTTTTCTCATAATCAAATTCCCTAGAAAGCTCTTCCTCCACTTGCTGATCCTGATCTTGTTGCGTCTCAGAGACCTTCTCTTCTTCAGTGTCCTGGTGTAGTTCAGATATCTCCATTTCATCTGTATAAATCTCATTTTCCAAGTCAGCGGTCTGATTCTTAAATATCTCTGTCCTTAAAACTTCTTGTTCACTGTTATCTTCAGAAATCTTTTGGTTCTTTAGGGTTTCCAGCTCAATCACAGCTTTCATTGCTGTCTTTCTCTTTATCTTGTAAATAGATTTCCTAGGCAGCTTTTTCTCCACTTGCTGATCCCCATTCTTTTGTGCTTCAGAGGCCATTTCTTTTTCAGCAACTTGGAGTAGTTTAGGGATCAAAACTTCATCTGTATAAATCTCATTTTTCAAGTCTACGGTCTGATTACTAAACATTTCTGTCCTGGAAACTTCTTGTTCAGTGTGTTCTAGGGTTTGCAGTTCAAAGGCAGCTTTCATTGCTGCCCTTTTCTTTTTCTTGTATATAGATTTCCTAGACAGCCTTTTCTCCACTTGCTGATCTCCATCTTGTTGCGTTCCAGAGGTCTTCTCTTTTTCAGTGGCCTGGCGTAGTTCAGAGATCACAGTTTCATCTGTGATCTCATCTTTGAAGGTGGCTGTCTGATTCTCACCATAACGTCACGCAAAGCTCAAACAACTCAATTTTACATGACATTAGAGCTGTAAAATTGGCAAAAACTACATTCCCATCAGTTTCAAAACTGTCCACAATGGCAATGGGTTTTTGACAGTCAATGAACCTTATGATGTGACTCCAGCCTTTTTGTAAAATCCATGCATATCTGATCTGATCTGATCTGTGCACCAATATAGAAGAGATTATCATAAAAGCAAAAGTATTCAATGTTACAAATCATAACATTTGTTTTAGATCACAAAAAAATATAAGTAGTTTTGGTCACGACAGTAATCTTAAGGATGTTTCAGCACACTTCATTAGAAAAGACATCAAAGCAGATTCCCTAACAGACATACAAATACCAGAAGTCTCCCACCTCTCTGTTGTAGACGAAGAACACACAGGCCATGGCCAGCTCCACCAGCATCAGGATGAACAGCAGAACATAAAACTGAGACACAGAAAATCAGATTATTTTTGAAGCGTCTCATTTGGTCATTCAGTGAATTCAGCCCACTCAGGCAGTAAACGCCACGTTTCCTCCCACTCACAGTGGTGAGCATGCAGCGGTTCTCCTTCAAGCCTCCCAGTACTCCCAGGTAACAAACGCAGGTGACGATGGTACCGGTCACTACAAGCGTGTTGGCAGGGTAGATGGGCCAGAAGGTGGTGACCAGAGAGGCGAACCTGGAGTGCATCATCTGGAATTCCCCGAAGGCCACCACGAAGGCTCCACACAGCTCCACAGGAGGCAAGAGAGACGAGGCAAAGCTCACATTATGAGAGTTGCAGGTTCAGCTGAGTGAGGCTGGCCTCAGTCTGTCTAACAACCTTTATAGACACCAGCAAAGACAACCTCTTCACATCTTGAGTGTGTGTTCACTGCCTCACTGAGCTGCTGCCTCACAGCACAGAGTCCTGAACAGGCTAAACAACACAGACCTGGATTTTCACTCGACATGTTTTGCGTCTACCCTTTTTCATCTCCAACCCTAATTCCAATTAAGGTGGAACGTTGTGTAAAACATAAATAAACACAGAATATAATGGTTTGCAAATCCTTGTTCAATGGAATTCACTACAAAGAGAAGACTTTCAGTGTTCGAACGGATGAGCTTCATGTTATCCATTTAATGATGCCTGCAACACGTTGTAATGTCGCTCTGGGTCGCCAGGCGAAGCTGCCGATAAAAATTCAGATTTGGTCAATAAAGTAATCTACATTAACTATTAACAACAAAACAAGTTGGTAATAATTGGAACTGGGGTACGTTCCAAAACTTGTATATGTTCATACATTCATGGTTGCAGTAAATGATAAACATTCCTTAATGTTTCTTCTAAAACTATTTTTTATATAAATTATGTGGTTGAGAAGTAAACTGGTCCCTCTGATGACGTAATTATGTGTCATTTTTATTCAAACTATTAATTTCAGGCTTGTAGGTATTTATTTAATGAATAATTCATAAGTTGGTGCCCAAGATAAGAAAATAACTAAACTAATTATATATACATAGAAAAAAAAAAAAAAAACTAGAAATCTGCATTGTTAAACGCTAATAAAACGTGAGAAGAAAATATTTTAATATTGATTTGGAGTTCAGCGAGTTAGACTTTAAAGGATTAATGACATAATGATGGAAAGTTTGCTACTTACATTTCAAAAAGTGTATAAAAGATAGCTGCTCCCAACCACAGTCTAGTTCAGTTCCTTAGTTTGCCAGTTTGTATTTAATTTCTTTTTCCTTAATATTTTATACAGAAGAATTTACTGAATTACTTAAAGTCTGAAAAACACTAATATCTTATTTATATTTCATAGTACTTGTCTTTTTGACAACAGGATCACACAGCACAGCAACTGATGTTAGAACTACAAAATCATAATCTTTGAAGCAAAAAGACAGCAAGACAATCCTAATGTAGTCAGAAATACAGTTTTGTGTGTGTGTGTGTGTGTGTGTGTATCTGTGTCACTCTGACAGAGCCCGCCTCCACTAGTGAGTACAGATAAAAAATGTGCTACATATTCTACATAAAGACTTCAATCTTGACCAATTAAGGAGTAAATATGTGAGGGTTTTAATATTTGCAGGATGACTGGATCTAACCAGCCACAGTGTGTGTGTGTGTGTGTGTTTGGTGCCCTCACCACCTTACCCAGCAGAGGAAGTGGAGAGACACCACCAGACCTTTCAGACAGCCGACGCAGGAGCTATTCATCCTTCCTGAACCTCTTCTTCTAAATGTGAGAAGGAAAAATTCAACACACTCGTCTTTAAGATCTGCAAAGGTGAAGCTGTGGCTCCATTCAGCTGAGTGTTTACAGGACACTGCTGTTTGATATGGCAACACTGAGCCATGAGCCACAATGGATCCCCTTGTTGGCCGTGTTAATCATTATTATCTGCTCTTATCACCAGATGAACTTTTTGTCACAAGTTTTAGACTCTGTTAGCTGGAAGCAACTTCAACTTCCTGATTCTCAGCAGCACAAAATACTGGAAGCCTGAAAATATAATAAAGATTTTTCCTGCAGGGATTATTTTGAAATGTGTATGTCAGTTATTAAGTTTTCATAATAATTGAAAATATAATAAATCAGAAGTCAAAGGAAAACTTATGTAAAAGCTTACCTTAATTACAGCGAAATATCCAGTAATGTCCGAGCGACTGGGAAGTTCATTTGGCGTTCCCAGCATTCCAAAGAATAACTGAGATCAGGCAGCAACGGCAGGAGTTAAAGCAGGGGGTGGGGGGAGGCATGGCTGAGTTTTATTAACTAATATTTACAGAAGCAACAATGAAGAGATGGGGGGCAGCAGGCAGCACATGGTTACACTGCTAACCTCCAGCAGGGCTGAATGAAGGCTTCTGTTGCTGTGTTCAGAGATGCTGGGTTAAGCTAGGGGTCAGGGGTCACTGATCAGTCTGAAGTAAACAGAATGAATTATCTGTAACTAGACGAGATCATTGCTCTAGAATCTGATTCTAGAGAAATGATCATTTTCCCTGATCTGGACTCCTCCAGCTTCCTCATACACATGGTGCTCAGGAACAGCGTAGATATTTGGAGACACATGCATAACAAAGGAAAAACACTGGATTTAAAGGGACAGTGTTGTGTAAAATCCATCATGTTCCCTCATTCCTTCATCATAAACATACCTAAAGGTTGTCTTGTATGTTGCATTCTCCCATTCCTCTCGTTCTTGAATTATTTGCTGTTATTTCAACTATCAACTGTTTTTTTTTTGAGCCGATACCAAATAAATACAGTGCAAGTATCACCAATATCTATACTGATACCAATACTTTTTATTATTCAGGTTTGATAAATCAAACTTCTGACATGTAGACGTTGTGTTAATATTTTTGTTAAAACCTAAGCAAGAAATTTAAAGTTTTTAGGTCTCCAGAAAATACTTGAGCTCAGCACAAGAAACAGAAACAATAGAAAATCAAAACAAATGTGTGAACATTCTTCCTAAATAAAGTAATAAAAGTTAGATTTCATGTCAGATCAAGACATCTTATTTTAGTTAAGGTTGAGAAACTACAAAAACAAAATGAAATATTAAACTAATGTATGGATCAATGGAAACATGAAGCAAACAAAAAGAAGGACCAGATTAAGGGAAGAATAGAAACTTTAATGGAAAGATCAGTGTCAGCATTGATTTCTTCACTAACATTTAAAACCACAGAACCAACTGGTTCACATTGAAATGAATGATTGAGGTAAATGGCTCAAAAATGCAAGAAATTTGCATAGAAAAATGAAAACATGAAGATCTGACAGCCTGTGAGTCTGCTGAAGCTCCTCTCACTGGACCTCCTAGGAGGGTTTGGTGGACAGAACTGTAGTCATGTGTAATAAATGGCTTTGTTTGAGTCCACACAGATAAAACTGGTTTCAAAACAATACATTAGAGAGAAAGGTCTGTCAAATCACGTAAACCAGGGGTGTCCAAACATTTTGTAACATGGGTCAAAAATAAAATGAAAAATGGTTTTAAAACTAAAATC